AATTAAGCAAAAGGTGTCAGAGGCAAAACATTTCAGAAACCGTATGTATCAAATATAATACATTTGGCATTATAGGGTTAATAATTCTCCATCTAAAATTTCAATCAGCCTCTCAGAGCCATCGCTTTTGATTTCCATTATAAAAGACCGTAAAATACAGAAATCCAGCTCTTCATTTGGCAGCCAAGTTCAGCAGAAATCTGCCCCTTTTTCTGGAAATGAGCAGGATGGCTACATTAGTGGATCAAAGGATTAAGGTGGACTCTGATCCTCTTTGGCCAAAAGAGTCCTTTTGGAGCTGAAGATCTTCGAGATGAAAGAGTTGTGGTGACACAAACCTCCTAAAACCGTAAAGAAAAGGTGCAAGGCCATGTAGTGAAACCGGTGGAAAGTTTCAGGTTTTGGACTCAGAAGACAACCTGACTAATATTTGAAATGTGTGCATTAAAATGATTTTTTAAAAAGCAACAGAAATCACGTTACAATAAATATATGATATATGATATATTTTGATCATAATAATTGTTATTATTTCATTGTTTTTCTCCCTAAAAATGTATATATTGGAATAGGAGAGAATACTTAGATTAATATTAGTAAACATTGATATATATGATATTACCAGTGAAGTCTTGAATCCAAAACTGCCTCCATACCTAAAAGAAATAATAATAAACCAGTAAAGAAATGATACATTAATGGATTTATTTTATACGTTTAAAATTATGATCACGATTAACAACAATGAATACTTTAGGGGAAAAACGTGAATGTGAATGTCTGCTAAAGTTCTTTCAGGTGCGTTTTCATTAAGAACGGAGGTGAAACCGCTCCAACGGCCTGGATCTTCCTCATGTTTTCAATTCAGAAAACACGTGTGTTGGGATGTGTGGCGATGGTGTCCAAGTGAGGTTTTTCTGTTTTATTTCAGATAAACTTATGGGAGGAAATCCCACTGCAACAAAAGAACAATTTGCAGTTTTGCACAACTGCCAAAAGCTGCCGTTTGTTGAAATTACAAAAGGGTCTTAAGTGCCGTGCAATAATCTTTAGATCCAAACAAAACGCTGTAATGAGGTGGCTGCACTCATTAACACCAGTAAGAAGGTGGTGATTACCTTCAGGAAGTTTTGGTTCCCTTAGGAAACTTTCCCCCTGTTCCGTTACCCAGAGAAATACCACATTACGTCAATAACCACCTCAGAATGACCATACAGGAGGCAGAATATGAATATGGAAAGAAATGGCAGACTATCTCCAAGTTGGGAAAATGTATCTGGTCTCATATTTTTAAATCTCCATAAGAAACAACAGTTGAAATAACAATAATAACAAACTGATTCCAAGCTGTTTCTATTTTCAACATGAGTCAGAATATCCACTGATTATTTTCAGATGACCCGGTCGTTTTTAAACTTCTTACTCAAGTAAAAATCTTCTTTCAGTAGATTCCTGCAGAGCACAGGGTTGCTGTCTTTTTTTTTTAAAGGTCTACAGAAGAATCAGAGCACCACCCCATCTCTTCTCACCTTTGAATGCTTCTACTTTTCAAGCAAACCACTGCAAAATCTGCAGAAAAAAGACACATCTTGCAGAACAGAATAACCACCGACAAAAGTGCTCTTTACCTTTCAGAGGAGAAAAAAAGGTTATCATTTTCTGTTTGTGAAGATTTCAATTTTTCCCTCACTCCTCAGAGCTTCATCTATTTATCTCTTATTAGATTTTTCCGTCCGTTCTCACTATGATGATGTTCAGCATCCTTTCCTACATCTTTGTTGTAAAAAAAACAACAATGGCATTTAAAAGGAAAACATTCCATTGAAGCTGAGGGAACCCATGATAGCCTTTTCCTGTTATGGATAACGTTGACTTCATGTTAGGAGTCAAACGGCTTTGAGGGGTGTTGGGTCAGTGGAGCCTACACAATGCAAACTACGGGGGGACCCTGTGAGACAATGCTCGTTTCCTATAGCCTAAGTATGAAACAAGGTCAGAACATGAAAAGGAAACCCGATTTAGTCTGCAGGAGGGTTGTTCTTTGAGGTCCTACCGCATCGTGTCGGTGTTTGCATCACCCATTCAAGCATTTAGCAGCTGTGGTATTTACGTTCCAGAGACTCCGGCAAACCAGAGCCTCAAACAAAGGCCTGGAATGGGGGACTTCAGATGAATTCAACAAGCCCTGGACTATAAAACATAGAGCTATTTGGCAGTTTGGAGAACTGATGCAAATGATTCCGCAGATGGTCGGAAAAGGGGGAAATGAAACCTCTCTTTTCGGGCGTGGATTTCATTAGGGATGGGCAACGGTTGGCTTAAGATCAAAATTGGTGATCCTAATCTTTCTTTGGTCATTTCTGCTTTTAAAGTTCACTTTTGTGGGTCACCACTTTGGGCCACACCATCTGCCTGGGGTAGCAAATTGCAGGTTTAAAAATTTAGGATTTCCAAACAAAAGTGTAGCATGACACACATGTGAAACGTTAGCCATGGATTGTGGAGCTATCTATACAGTGTACATTGTCCACCTTTAGGTTTGGATTTGTGTACAAATGTCAATGTTTTCTGGTTTAACTGAGATGATGGTTCACTGGGATGGCCACATTGAGAAGAATAGATGCTTTAGGAGCAATTTTACAATAAAAAAAACAACTTTTTTTCTTAGAAATCTTCTCAGCAAAGTAAAAAAACCCTTTTTTAAAGCCCTCCTTTCAGATGAGATCATGCTAATTGCACAAGAGTGGAGATTACAACACATTCAATGATTTTTTTTGTGTAATGGAAGAAAACGGGGGGTCACTTTTTAACCAGTTCTTCAATGCTTGTTGATTCATTTCTCCATTCCTGTGACCTTAAAGCCACAAAGTGTGGCGATGAGTCAGTTCATGGTGAGTCTGCTCAGAAGAGGATGCTAGATTTCACGGCCTTGTAATTCTGAATTGAGTTTTTAAGAAATGATGACGGCAAAGCTGAAGGCAAAGACGCTAAACTAAGCACAACGACAGGCTAAAACTGTGTTTGTCAGCCCTCTTTGTGTTGGAAAAAGTGCTCACACTGATAAAAATGAAACCCAAGAAACGACTCTGCTCAGTGACATACTTGAGGGTGAGCTTTGCTGGATGATTAAACTGCCATAGGTGCGGGATCGAGCCCAAAACAGCAAAGAGACGCACTTTCTGCAGATCGGTGATGAAAACAAGGCGTTCTGGTCCGGCCGCTTCTGCTGATGGGGAATTAGAGGGAGACATAACGGACACAAGCTTTAGCTCAGTGTGTGGAGAGATAAGGTGTCGTCCTCTTCTGGGGGAGGCAGTCAGTGGAGGAGGGGGGGGGCACGTTCTTATGATGAGAGGAACGTGGGAAAGTGAGCTTCACGGGCTGCCAGAGCCCTTAGTTTCCCAGAAGATCGCATTTTATTCAGTTCGGCTGGGATCTAGAAGGGGGGATAATTCGATCAGGGACTGACACATGCTTTTATTTGGCCTGATTTGAGATTTCGATTTCAGCGTCTGAATAAAGGGAACAGAAAATGTGACAGGAAATAACTTCATCAGGGTGTTTTTGTGGTTTGATCTCAAACCTCTGGGTTGTTTTTTTTTGTGTTTTTTTTAAACTTCTGCTTTATGTGGATGGATCTAACATCACAGCTGGGCAGTGTAGGGGAAAAACATGATGGCACCTCATATTACCATTATTATTATTATTATTATTATTATTATTATTATTATTATTATTATTATTATTATTATTATTATTATTATTAT